CGTGATGCGTTTCTGAGTGGCTGAAGTGAGATGCGATGATTTAAATGTGATGACACTTCCGCAAACACAAGGAACTGAGAAGTACCCACTTTTATTCCCTCTTAGTAATTCCTGAAGTACTTTGAACATAAACAACTTAGAAATTACTGTGGTGTGTAAAATTAGAGTTGTGAAACCTGCTCGGACATTCCTTCTTTTAGGGCTCCCTGCTCCCTTAAGTGTTGAACCAGAATGCTGATGACAGCCAGTGCTGCTCGGCTTAACGCTGTCACTGCTGCCTTGGCTTGGAAAGGAAGAGATTTTCACCACCAAAAGTGCCTTCAAACCACGCCGGTGGAGCCCTCAGAGATCCTCCTTCTGCAGGGCCCATCCTGCCTGCCCCTTACCCAGCACCGCGGCTTCCCCGCTGTCGTGGTGGATGTTGCTCGCGGCCCTGACGGCGGATTTCATGGCTGTGTCGATCCAGGCGTGGGGCTGAGCCGTGTGCTCCCCTGCAAAGTGCACCCGGCCCTGGTGCTCGAAGAGGTCCCGCGAGTAATCGGTGAACTGGTAGGGGGTGAAGGCAGCGAATGCCCCCAGGGAGTACTTGTCCAGCTGCCACTTCTTGATGATGTGCTGGGTGCAGGTGTCCTGCAGGTACCCCTTGCTCACCTGGTGGATGGCTGCCAGGTCTTGGAAGACCACATCCAGGCACTTCTCCTCCGTGAGAGGCAGGAAGAAGTCGGCGTCGTCGTTCCAAGTGTAGGAAGCCAGGATGACGCCCACCCCGCTGGAGAAGTTGTGGCTGGGGTAGTAGATGAAGCGGGAAGGGCGGTCGGTGATGGATTGTCCCCCTCGGATGCCGTCCCGCTCCCAGAACTTCTCCTTGCAAGCCAAGACGATCTTGGAGGAGGACGCGTAGTGCAGGGAGCGCAGGGCATGGGTCTTGGGAGCAGAGAGGGGTGGCAGGAATTGGATGTGCCTGGTGGCCTTGGTGGTGGAGGTGACAAGGACGTAATCTGCAGTTACTGTGGTTGGGGCCAGGGTGTCCGGAGCATGGTAATGAACGTGGACTTTGTTCCCCTTCCTGACGATCTTCTTCACCGTGCAATTGAACTGGATGATGTTGGGCAATGCTTTGTGGAAGGCTTTGGGCAGTTGGTCAAACCCTCCCGTGATCTCGTCAAATCTGAAAGGAGAAGAGGATGGTGAGGGAAAAACACTGGGGTTAAGGAGCTATAAGACCTGAGATGCTCTAACAGAGCTCGGTGGCCCTTTGAGTCGGGAGTGATTCCCATTGAGACACCCAAATGCCACTGGCATCTCTGCTGGTGGCTGCTGAGGCCCAGCATGAAATGGGGTTTGCCATAGGAGACGTGGTCTTACCTCTCATCAGAGAAGATGTCAAAGTCCCACAGGGAGGCCAGGAAGGACAGGTAAAACCCCGAGTCCTCGTTCAGGAGGTCACCGATCATCTGGACCGCTCCTCGGCTCAGGTTCCCTACTTTGATCAAATACTCCTGGAAAAGCCAGGAAGAACACATAGCCTGATGTTATTGTCCCACTGTTTTATATCCCAAGCCATATTCATGCCCTGCTGCCTTGTTCCTGCTCCTGATCTGCTTAAAGCCCAGACCAGAAGCAGCTTCTTGCAGGAGACCAATGACTGATTTGGTTTAGCAGGACAGAAGTTTGGGAGATGGATGAAGAGGGATTTGTGGCTTTGAGACAGTTGGGCCACATAACGATGCTCAGTAAATCCTCCCCAGTGCTCGGGGAGACCCATGATGGAGGAATATGGTCAATCTGGATGAATTCCCAGATCCTTTCTCCAAGCAGGGATGGCGGGTTAAGAATCAGTAGAGGGGGAATAAACTCAAGCCCCAGACCTTTACCTTGGTGGAGAAGGAGTCGTATTTAGTTAGATACTCCTTGCAGTCTGTATCCTGGAACTTCTTCAAAGCCTGGAGAGGAAACAGTGATGTAGTAATGAGGAAAGAAAGCACATTCCCAAAGTGCTTCCATGGATTCTGTTAGCATTGGCTGGGGTTTGGTGACCCCTGGAGCTGAGTTAGAGATAATGGATCCTGCTGCTTGGGCCTCAGCTTGGGGAAGTTATGGCCTTAATGTGGCATCTTCTGCTTCATCCAAGGCTTGGCGAGTGCTCCAGAGAAGGGAACATGTATAAAGAGGGTTTCAATTAGCTGCCCTTGTTTCTGAATGAGCCTTTCTAAGGCTAAAGGACCCTACTCTTCCTCGGCTCATTGCTGAGTCTTCCTCAACCCATCGTGCAGATGAGGGTCCACCAGGAAACGCCATCAGTGTCTCTTGGATTCCCTTCCCTGTGGGCACGTACCTTGTGCAGTGCTTCCCGGTACAGCTGCTCGGCACTTTTGCCTCTCTCCAATGGCTCCACCGGGTAGTTGAGGATATTGGGGTTCCTGTTCACTTCCTCGGCTCTTACCCGAATGCCGTTCACCAAGTACCAAGTGTTCTCATCGGTCTGGATGAAGGGGTTTAGCTTCAGCTCAAACTGCCTGATGAACTCCCGGACCAGCCTGAGAGGTGAGGCACATGGGGACAAATGCTTGCAAACAACCAACCCCAAAACCCAGCCCCTAAAACACAAGGGGCACGAAAGGACGCTTTCTCCTTGAGTATGTTGTTGTAGCCATGTATTGTGTTGGCAGTGCATTGTGACAGCCCCTTCCTCCTGCTGCCCCACACCCATACCCAAGTCCTCATCTCAGACCTCAGCCTTGTTCCTCCAAGCAGGCTGGTTCCTCCCCTGATGATGGCTATGAAGCAGGGCACCTCCTTACCTGTGCTTGGTCGGCAGGCGCATGGGTCCCAGCTCCACGTACCAGTCCTGCCCCTCGGAGCGGTATGTCCTGATCCGGCCACCAACCCTGCTGCTGGCCTCCAGAACAGTGACCTACAACCAGAGATGGGTGAAGATTGGACATGTTCAGGCAAGGCAGCTATTTTGAGCAAAACACCTACAAAACAAGTTCCTAGGCATGGTGACAGGCAGCATTCATGGGCCATAGGGTGGGACAGGTCCCCTCCAGGTGGCAAATGAACCCTTTAGATCCAAACCCCTCCCTTGCATTCATTTGGAGACCCCCTAAAGGAGCTGCTTGGTGTGAACCTCCCCTTCACCCCCTCCTGTCCCTGTGCCTAAATCAGATGAAATCACCAGAGCCCAATTGTCTTTCCTTCCTTTTCCCATCACTATGATCCATTCCCTTCTCCCTCCTCACACTGGAAAACCCTCAGTGTACGAAAAGAAGACCCAAAAGCACTCATGTCTCATGCAACCACTGACCCTGTGGCCGGCATCTCGGAGCAGCTTCGCCGCTGTGAGCCCACTTATCCCTGCACCAACGATGACCACGTCTGCTGGGTGAGTTGCAGGCTCCAGCCCATTTTTAACGATGTCCAGCAGCTCTTCATAGTCTTTGTCATGGAGACAATACTCAGGGAAGCATGGGAACCTCTTGGCACTCAGGAGACCTGCCAGCAGGAGGATTTGGAAGAGGACTGGGGAGAGAAGAGAAGAGAAGAGAAGGCTCTTGGCAATGAGCATGCAGGTTCATTCCTAACAGCCAGGATTGTGACAGCACAGATTGCCTCCAAGCACATTGGCGTCCAAGCCCCAAAGAGGAACAGTAGCAATCTGACTAAAGTCAACTGGCATGGTTATTCCCTATGGGGTCAGCAGGTCTCCCAAGATGCGGGATGCCAAGTAATGTCAGGAAATGTGATTTTGAAGGAGAAATCAAGCCCATGGATGATTTCTTTTCTTTCCCATTCACATTCTGCTTTCATGAGTTCCCCAAATGAGTACGAGCGTCTTTGAATAAGCTCTGAAGAATCCATAATGAAGGAGGGTCATTAGTGCCACTCACACACAAAGAATTGAGGCAATCTTGTCCCAGTTGCCCTTTCCTGTGCCTTAGGCAGTTTGGATGCAGTGGGTAGGAGGAGAAGACAATAGTATATTGATAGGTGCACACTATTGCATAGAGAGCTGGACAGATGAGCCAGAGATAGCAGGTGATAGGGCTTACCCATCGAAATCAGATAAGATTCCAGCCTGTTCGGAACAACCACTGCTACTACACCAGAAACAACATTATCCCAGGGGAAGGAGGTTTGAACAGAAACCTGGGATTTTGCCAGTTTTGGCTTCAGTTCTCCCAAATAACTTCAATAACTTTCATTTTCTTTTCCTTCCCCCAGATATGGGTGGTTTCCTTCCAGGGAATAAAAGGCAATGAGAGAAAAGGTTCTGAAATCCCACCCTGGCTGGTTCTCCCTTCTGGAAAATCCCTTTAGAATGTTCCTGCTGGATCAACCTCAGAACTGTTACCCTGCAGGTGACAGTTGGAAACCAAAGTCCAGCTCCTCAAGCAGGTCCTTCTGCAGCCTCTGGAGCTCCTCCAGCTTCCTGGAGACACCGACAACGGCAGTAAAAACTAATTAGAAAGCGCTTGCTCCAATTGGGCTGCAACAGTGTGGCCGCCTTCAGAGCAAGGCAGAAAGTGATAGCGTGTTGATAAAGCCACATCGACCTTCTCACCCAGGGCTGCTGCCCTGGTCCTCCCGGAGGAGGTCAGGCTTTCCATGGGAGGGGATCCCAAATACATTGGAAAAAAACATTGGAATGGATGGATCTCCATCTTCTCTCAGACCTTCTTGTGTTGGGAGGAGAAACCATCAGCCTGATGTTCTCCAGGGATGCTCCTGGAGGTTCTGAGCTTGTTTCCATCTATCCCTGCACAACCAGGAGCATCCCAAACCTGCAAGAGAAGTGTCCCATTGCCCGTAGTTGCTGCCAAGTCAAGCCCCAGGTGACCAAGCACTACCCTGAGCTGGAGGAAGGGAGGTTTGAGGGTATGCCGTCAGGAGGTGACGCAAAAGGCAGATGTGAAAAACAAACCAAGACCACCCCAAAAATGGGCATTGAAGAAGAGAGAAAAGCAGGAAAAGCCCAATAGGAGAGGCTGAGATTCGGGGAGAGCACTCACTGGTCCCAGTCATCCTTCCAGCAGGAAGATGAGTCTTCTGCTGAGATTTGCTTTCATTTTATACCCTGGCTTAGGCAAAAAAGGAGGCAACATAGCTGTGGTGGCTGGGGAGGAAACCTGCCAGTCAGGGGCCGGAGGCAGCAGTGATTTGTCATCCCAAGGGGAACCAGCAATTGAGCGTAGCCGGTTCCTCTGACGGGTTCCTTGTCTTTCCTCACTGGTGTTACCGGGTTTGGACACAAGCCACTCAGTCCACGGCACATTTGGGAAGTGTCGTGATCATCAGAACACCCAGAGCTGACCGCACCCTTGCTGGGAAGGGCAGAGACCTTCCCAGCACCCAAATGGAGGTTTGGTTCTTTCCTTGTGCTGCACGCAGTGGGATCTGGTCCAGTGCCGTGGGATTCGTCTGCATCCCGGGGGGACCTCTGAGCTTGCATCCAGAACACGGCGCTGGTGGGGAGAATGGGCATTTCCAGTGCCAGCACACATCAGGACACTTTATGGTCAGTTTTGGCTTCATCCTGTCTCCATTAGGATCGAGCTTAGATGCCTTCCCTGAGCTGGCAAACACTGGGTGCATTTGATAGGGGGGGCTGAATTAATAACTGAATGTTAAACCTATGTTATTCTGATTATCTTCAATCTCTTTAGTTAACAATAAGTATTTGTCCAAAAGTGCTGCTTGTGTTTAATGTAAACTTGTGTAAGGGGGTCAAAGTTTGCGCTTACAACACCATACACCTGGTGAAGACCTGGCTGAGACTGGAACTGTGGTTTGAGCCGAAGCCAGGGGACTAGAGAGCATGTGTGCAAGACGGAGGTGAAAAGTTCAAGAGTGAGGAAGACTCGTTTACTTCATCTCGAGACCCCTGCCCACGACCACCAAGAGGCACTGCGCAGACGTGAAGGAAGCTTTAGCTCATTATAATATGAAGCGGGAAAAGGATATGAATATGTATAGGTGTGTTGTGTAGCCTATTGCATATGTAACACTTTAGAGAATAAATGTAGAGGGAAAATGACGCTGGGGTGCGCACACCTTTGGAGGAGCTATCCCCCATGCACCTCAGCTGAATAAAGAATACCTACTTTACAACTTTAACGAGTTGTGGAGTCAATCCGCGCATCACATTGTACCAGCATTTTCGCACAATGGACAGTTTTGACCTCTCAAAGCACCATAAATCGACCTGAGGAACCATCCTTTGGCTGGTTCACCATGTTCTAGCCACCGCTCAACCCTGTGTAGGCTGCCTTACTCCTGAAACCAAACAAACCCACCACAAACTCCCCCTCCCAACCATCTTGTCCTTTCTCTTCTTTGCCTTATGTCCCCTTTACAGTTAAGCAGATGATGGACTCGTTTGAGGAGGAAATGAAACCCCATGTTGGTGCTTCCCAGACTTCTGCACCCTAAGGGGTGACCTCAGTACCAAGGTAGGCACGAGCCCCACAGAAGGGGCTTTCCCGAAAGCCTCAGTAGTCACTGGCTCTTCTCAGTAGTGTTTTCTTCATGGAACACTCTCTTTCCCTGCAGTGCTCTCAGTTTTCCTTGGTTGGAGCCCAGAGCTACATGCATCAAAGCAGAAGCGAACTCTTTTCCTTGTGCTATTAAGAGTCTGGTCTTTAGATGTCTGGGTGCCTTCCCAGACAGCAGGGCTGAGGCCATGCTCCAGCTTTGGCCTCATTAGTCTTGAGTTAGTCTTTAGTCTTGATTTGTTCTGTCTTCTTTGAGTGCTGCTTCCTTTAGTTCTTTGATTGCAGCAGCTTGAGCCAAGCTCATGGCTGGGCTTTACCCCATTCCCCTCCCAACAACAGTGTGGGGTTTTACTAAGTTTCATCATCTTGAGGAGGAAGAGAAACGTATGGATCACTGAGTGCAACTCCCAAAGTAGAGTTTTGGTGGTGCCCGCTTGTGATATTACATTGGTCTCATGCTGTAGGTAGTGCCCCAGAGGAGTGGACTGCAGAGCCCTGGTGAGGTAAGGACTGGGAGCACTGCTTGTGCTTCCCATCCATTACCCTTTCCATGAAGCCACACTTCACCAACCAACTTCCCTCTGGGTCCTTCTGGGCTTTGGGGGAATGACGCTGACAAATTGCTTCAGTCATTGATGATGGGGGGTTTACTCTTTGCCACCAGCAGGACCCACTGAACACATCCACATCCGTGGGATCTATGTTCTGGTGGCCTCGTGACACCTTGGGGTTTTGTGGTGCTTTTCCAACCTCGGCGGTGCAGCTCTTGCCTAGCAACATGCTTGTTGGTGGAGTGTGGGTGTTCCTACAGCAAAGTGGAGCTGTTGTGGTCTCGTTTCCTCTGCCTGGCCCCGCAGGCAGCTCAGTCTGCGCTGATTGAACCTTTCCCCAAAGCATCTTTGTGGTGGCGCTGCTGGGATGGGTGTTTTGGAAGAGATTGACCCTCTTCATGGTGAATTCCAGGAGTTACCTCTGCCAGCATCAAGGCAAAACAAGGAGCTGAGTCTTCGCATCCAGCTCACCTGCTTTCGCCACGAGTTCCCCTTCATCTTCATCAAAACTGGGAGGAAACTTTCCTCCTAAGACAAACCAAAGGGTTGCACATTCTCCTTGAGGATTTTGTCTCCATTTAGGAGGATCCACCAGTTTGATCCAGGTTTAAACCTTGGAAAAATGCAAAAGCACCATTTTTCTGCAAAATGACCTCAAATGACTTCTAGTTTGTGCCTGATCTCGTACTGGCTTATGATTATCAGGCTGTTTTCCTGGTACCTGTGGGTGTCCACACTGAAAACTCAGCACCATGCTTTATCTCTTCCCATGAAGCAACGATCTTTGATGGGGGATTTGGGGATTACCTGATGAAACAAGTGCGTGCACATGGCTCCAGAGGGTTTGGAGGGAGGGCAGTTTGGTTTATCTTGTTTTGATAAAAAGCTACATCAGCACGTGTCCTGACAAGCTGCTTTGGGATTAACCTCAAATTGCAGGGTTTATTGTCTCAGAGCTGCATGCCACCCGTTGCAAAAGGAGTTCCTCCCATGTTCCTGCTCCTGTCTGCTGCTTCCCTGAACATTACTGGAAACTGAGTTTCCACCTAAAGCCAGTTACAACATAAGGCTTGGAGAAGGACAATGGGAGGGATGGAAACCGAATCGAATCAGCCGGCGTGGGACGGGTAAAGAAAGGACAAGTCTTTGCTTCCAAATCATTGTCTTTGCTTTTAGTGTGGGTTTTTTCTTAATGAAGGGAGGAGAAAAAACAGTCAGGATTTGGTCCTTCAGCACCGGGGGGGGCAGATGTTGATGTGGCATCAACAGGGCCTTTGACAGTGCATGGAGGAGCTTGAAGGAAGCACGGGGAGGTAAGAGCACTGAAGGTGGACGTGAAGAGAGAGCTGTGTATGTAAAGCAGAGGGAGGGAAAAACCCGGGTGGATTCATTAGTCACAGACATGAGGCTGAGGTGTGCAGGCAGTTTCTAGTGAGGAAAGATACTCTTTCAAAGGATTTCCTTGCAACTCATTTCCTGCTCATCCAGAAGGCTCCCAAGGCACATGGAGCACGTCCGTGGTCATGCAACTGCAAGGTGCCACTCTTGAGGTTGGGCTGATGCTCTGGGAAACAAGTGATAGGTGCTAGGCTGGTGTCCTGGGTTCAGCTGTAGCAGCCATTTCTCTCCTTCCTAGTAGCTGGTGCAGCGCTGTGGTTTTGACTTTCAGCCTGCTAACAGCACTGATAACACCGATGGTTTTAGTTGCTGCTCAGTAACGTTTACTCTGACCAAGGACTTTGTGAGTCTCATGCTCTGCCAGGGAGGAGGGGAAGCCGGGAGGAAGCAGACAGGACACCTGACCCAAACTGACCAAAGAGGTATTCCATAGCACAGCACGTCATGCCCACTATATAAACTGGGGGCAGTTACCCGGGAGGGCTAGATCACTGCTCGGGTCAGGTTGGGCATTGGTCGGTGGGTGGTGAGCGGTTGTATTCTCTTCCCTTATTTCCCTTATCATTATTATTATTGGTGGCAGCAGCAGCGGTTTTGTGTTATACCTTAGTTACTGGACTGCTCTTATCTCAGCTCGTGGGGTTTACATTGCTTCGATTCTCCTCTCCATCCCTCTGGGAGCCGGGGCGGGGGGGGGTGTGAGTGAGCAGCTGCATGGTTCTCAGTTGCTAACTGGGCTTAAACCACAACAGTTCTTTGTGGTGCACAATGTGGGGCAAAAAGGGTTGAGATAACGACAGATCTTTGGGTCTTGTCTAGGGTTTGACGACGATATAGGAGGACCAAGAGACTCCCCCCAAGGCTGGACAGTCACGTGTGGCAGGGTGTGTGGGACAGTATGGGCCAGCGTCTAGGCCAGTGGGCTCCTCCAGTGCTCTGGAACTTTGCCACTGAACAAGTGCAAAACCCAGAAAAATTAGTAAAACACTTAAATGGGGTGTGTTGTCATGCTGGTTATTAAATTAGATTAATACAATTATATTTTATACACATTTAATTTATATAAATATAATAAATAAATAAATATAATAATTTATATAAATATAAAATAAATTAACAGAACTAATTAATAATAATTAAATTAAATGAAATGAGAGATAGTTCATGCAGTAGCATAACAACAGTTGGGTGGCAGATTCTCCTTGGGGGGCGGAGCACCCCAGGGCCATGGTTGCCATGGCCAAGATGGAATCCGCCGGGATTCTATCCTTTATGAGCTGGTGGGAGATGTTGCTCTCCTGGCCAATGGGAGGGCTCAGAACTGCCCCTCATTTGCATCCTCACCTATATAAAAGGGGGAGCTGGGGAGGGTTCTGTGGGCTCAAAGGGTCAGGGTAGTGCAGGGCCAAGGCTGAGCCATGGTGTCCGTTGCTATGGTGTCTGTTAAGGGAGCAAAGAGGAGAACCCAGAAGAGAAGGAGCTCCCAGAAGAAAAGGAGGCTCCAGCGTGGGACCAGACGCAGGAGCCGCATCAGGAAATCTGCGGCCAAGAAGAGGA